CCGCTTCTCTGCGGCGGGGCTCGGGCGGCTGCCAGGCTGCGGGGAAAGGCGCTCCCGGGCAAGGGGACGGCGGCGGAGCGGATGGAGCGTTTGTCCCGTGTCGGGGGTATATCGACCCCTCACAAAACCAGCAACGCGGGAGGAGGCGGCGGGGATTGGTATCTAGTGGGAGCAAACCCCAGCTTATGCAGCGCATCTCGATGGTGGCACTATTAATGATGATTATCACTTTAATAATAACAGTAATCAAGCGTCGTCGGGTCGGCCGGTGCCGTCACCAGGAATATTTTCCCTAAGCTCCTGGGTTCCTTCACGTTAAGATCGCCCAGAAAAGCCTCCCTGCAGCCTGGCTGCTCTTTGCCTCCCCTTCCCCCGCCGCGGGGAGCAGGGGCAGAGCCCTCTGAGGGAGCTCTCCGCGAGGTGCAGCCTGCTCGGGCGGGAGGGCTGCGGTAAAACACTTCCAGGAAAACATCAATACATGCAACAGAAGGTTAGCGGAGTTATTATCCTTTTCAATTCATTTTTTACTTAAAAACGCAACGGAATTATTCGTTTTAGTAAGGAGGAAGAAATTAAAGATTAGGCTTTAGGCGGTATTTTACCTCCCTCTAATCGCCTCTGGGATCGGATTGGAGTAATCCTGACGACGAGATGAATTCGCCGGTGACTCGGATTTTTTAGTGCATGTAGAGATACGTTATGATAATAATGCAAGTGAGCAATATCAGGAACACAGCTTAGGAGCGAATGAAACACAAAACCGATTACGGGGAAAAAGAGAACAGCAGCTTTCCCGAGTAGAACACGAAAACAACTTGAGGCAAAACTTTTTGCCCTTTATTCCTTCAATGGTTTGTAACTCGAGGAGGCCGGCGGGCCAGCTCCTTCCCCCGCCGGCCCCTTCTGCCGGGGGTCGATACGTGCCACCGACCAAGAGATGTTCGGCCCCGGGAGCCGGGGCACAGCCCGCCGTGCCCCCTGCAAAAAGAAACCGGCCAAGAGGCTACTTCTCGGGCATAACCTCCCTGCACCAGGTCGACTGCAGGATATTTGCAGCTCAGCAGATACGTAACATCGCTAGAAAAGATGGCAAGGCAAATCTCGAAACAGGACAAAAAATATATGTATCGACATTTCTTTTACTCAAGGTTATCTATATTGAGGGCGACTCCAATACTAGCAAGGTACCATATCTGAGACTTACAAGAATAAAAATAAATTTTAAATTCCTTTTAGTTCGCTATTTAATAATTGAGCACGAACTTAACTTTTCCTTTGCTGTACAGAAGGAAAGGGAGACATATCCGTAAAGAAGTAACAAGCGTTAAAGCTCCCGCTTCTCCAAGAGTGTATGTCAGTATTGAAGAGGTCAGCATAATTGTAATGGCAGGGCTGTAATTGCTGCTTTGGGATATTTACCCTGCTCAAATGACACTACGTATTTTACTTTCAAACACATGCCAGAAAGTCAATCTCAAAAAGACCAGTTAAGAGTAAGCTGTTAACATATTAAGTCTATGGGATTTGAAGCCTCTAAAAACCACTCAACAGTAATTCCCTTCTTCAGCACCAATCAAGAGGAAATTTCCCTAGACTGAATTAAATGTAAATTGCTCTGGAGGAAGAAACTTCCCTCTGGCAGACACAAAGTAAGCGAGACACCGACACCCCGGAGAAGCGGGACGCCTGGGGCAGTTGCCCCGCACAGCGCTGAGGGGACATGGCACCGCCCCCCTCCCCGTCCCCGCGGTCCCCTCTCCCCCGGGAGAGTGACACTGGTCGAGCCGGGGCTTTCGGGGCCGGTGCTGGAAGCAGCAGGTAAG